ACTTGTCAACACATCGATGACGGTGAGTATGTAATGGCCTCTGTTGAAGCCTGAGTACGGACGCATCTCGACGATATCAGCCTGCCACAGATCGTATCCTCGAACTATAACGCGCCTTCGCGGAAAATTTTTTCTCGCCGGAGCATGCAATTCCTCGAGTTGACGTCTCTCGGAGCTAATTTTTCTCTTTTCGCTGAATCTCTTTTTCATGATTCAACGCGTAATACACAGAGCAAAAGAATTTCTTTTTTTCTCACTGACACCACTCGACTCGTTTCTACACGTGATTTAATTTGTAATAAGACTACCTTCGCGAAGTTCCTCGACAACATCTCGTTGTCGTGAGGTTGTTGCTCGCTCGGTGCGAAGCGTCGAGCAATCGTAGACGATCCACCAGTTCGTTGGGATCATCCCAATGCACGTAATCAATCGCGTTGTTATTCAATATCATTGCATGAAGTAATCCCTTTCCAGATTTCTTCTTCTGTTTCTTGGGTGTGATCGACATTAACGGCGCGATTACATATTTGTACTTGTATCCCCTGTTGCTCAATAATCGGCCCTGCGATTGATGCTTGTATTTGTGCGCGTTTGTTGCCAGGAGCATGCTCTTGTACTTGTTCATATCGTCTTTCGTATAAAGGAGATCATCGGGAATTCTCTTGAAAATCAACTCATAAAAACCAGGTGTACCAACGTATCGTACACCATCGATAATTATGTTGTCCGCATCATCCACATCGAAACGTTTATTGCCAAACATCAATCCATCCTTGTGTAGGTAAACGCGTACACATAATTTACATCGCTCTTCTGTTTATCTCACGTTCCTCTCAGGATAGTCTCGACGTACTTTTGACCCAGCGGGCCTAAGTCGGCTCGTAATGCTTCTTGACCTTTCGACATTTCGAAAACATTGTTCAACGACTCTATCGTCGGTACGATTTTGCTACGCGGTATGAAAGTTATCGGCTGTACACGATCGTGCGATCGATTATCGGATTTACGCGGGATCGCGGAACGCTCGAACATCTCGCTTGCTTTCTCTTCCTCCTCCTCCTTCTCCTCCTCTTTTCTCTTACACTTGGAAGCAGATGCTACGTTATCGTCGCGCGACTGTCTCTTTATCGCGCGCACGGGACTGTCAACAATCTGCTGCAGAGGTTTGATAATAGGTTTAAAATGCCTGTCCAATGCCATGTCCTCCTCGATTCTACCGGTCTTTAGAGCGCGATGTTTTTTGCTCGTCTTCTCAATCTCCTGCAATTTTTTTCACGCGCGCGCACAGCTATGTTCATCTCTGGCGAAGTATCGACAACGACTAGTCACGTTACAGTATAGCGAATTCGTTAAATCCCTTTCTGTATCTCCCGTCTTTAAGCGCACTGTCCTTGTCTATCACTAAAAATCCATATTTTTTTTTATCAATAGTCGCGACACAACAAACAAAATTCATCGTATAAAATACATATCGGTATTTACATGATTGTTGTAAACGTGTTTCAAGTTGGTACAATCCTGTTTGAACAGGATCAACAGGTTCGCATTGTCGCGTGTTTAGTATCTTCGCGTACGTCTGACAGAGATAGAAGCAGTCAATGTTCGAATGGCGACCCATCGAAAAGTATTCTCTCATCGCCTGCTTGTCGCATGCTACGTCATCAAAGATAAAAATAGAATTTGGGCGCGCCTCGCTCGGTGGAACGACATCGCTGTTGTTGGAGAACGTAAAGTAGGAGCCGATTTCGTCGATAGACGTAAGTAAATTTTCGAGATATCGATACTTTGGCTGTTGCAGTGATTTTGAGTAGACGTACATATTCTCAAAACGTATGCTATTTGGACTCTCGAGCAAGCTTATGAGAACGTTGGTTTTACCACAATTCGACAGGCCGCGCGTATAGTACTCGGCAGTATTTCGCCGTGCTTGCGCTTCTCCGCGTTGCTTCCCATCATTCGCGATTTCGCGTCACAATTTGTGATGTATGTCGTTAATGGTTGCAGCACGAATTTCATGCTCACACTAAAGACTGCGCTTTTGAATGACTATTTAAAGGTGCGCAAATCCGCGAATCGTGCAGTAGCAAAATGTATCTTGCGCTATGTCCTTCCGATATTCGAGACTTGAGCGTCGAGCAACTGCAATATATACCGAGGTCGTACTCTTACGCATGTACAGCGATTACATCGAACACGTCTGGGACAAGCTTCCGGAACACGTGAAGGCAGATTCGGAGGTTCGAACTTATCGTCGCTGTGACAAGCACTACAATCAACCGTGGCAGCGGACACACATCAACGGCCCTGCATCGAAGATAAAGGACTGTAACGAATGTTAGCATCGCGCGGTCTGTTGAATCGAGCAATAAACGCGCTTCCTTTCGAGTTACATATTCCGGGCTACCAGTTTTGCGGCCCGGGCACTCGGCTTACGAAGCGACTAGCCAGAGGTGACGAGGGCATAAATCCGCTGGACGCGGCGTGCCGAGAACACGACATTGCGTATTCTCGGAGCAACGATCTCACCGATAGACACGCGGCGAACAAGGTACTCGTCGATAAAGCGCTAGGACGCGTCGTCGCGAAAGATTCGGCTCTGAGTGAGAGAGCAGCCGCAGCTGCCGTCTGGGCAGCGATGAAAGCCAAGACCAAGATCGGCATGAAACCGAAGAAGAAGACGACGAAAAAAAAGATGATGAAAAAGCGGATACTTCCAACAGCGAAACGAGGTGATGCGTTACCATTTCTACCAATATTGGGCGCGCTCGGATCCTGGAACGGCCAGCATGGCGAAAGCGGTAAATAACAGCAAAGCCGCGCGACATCAACTCGAAGTGTAACGTCACGATCGCGCGATGGAGTAGAGTCGCGGACTATATCTCGCTCCGTACAAATACGGATCTCGGTCCATACAAACATGGACAGGGTAGCTGCAAAGAAAAAAAAAACGTCGAAAAGACGATTAAAATGCCATCTGGCGCAATTACCAATGTGCAATTGAACGAGTTCGCGAGACGTATGCGTGTACCATACTTTAGAGGCGTTTTTATGCGTAACACGTTATCGACGAACACCACGCACCGAAACGAAAACGGTTTCGTAAATCTGGATAATGCGACGGGGCTTGGTACTCACTGAATAGCGTACGTGAAGAGAAACAACCGCGTGTACTTTGACAGTTTCGGTAATCTTCGACCGCCCAAGGAACTGCGATATTTCGGAAACGATGCTATGACGATAGAGTACAATCGCACGTCCTATCAGAGTTTCTGTGAACAGATGTGCCTACGGTTTCTATAAACGGTAGATGCGCGTGAATTTAAAAAGCTCGACAAGATGCTGTGAAATCTTAATATTAGTCGAACGCTTTTTCCGACATGTCGTTGACACTTATGCTGAGTAGGAAGAGCACTGTCCTTGCGGCGAACTACTTTCCTGTCATAGATTTGAGTGATGGAGATTACGAGCTCGATCTGGCGATTATCCCGATATCGAATGTGAATGAAACGAACAACAAATTTTATTATATATAATTTTATTTCGCCAAAGATGACGTGGAAATTACAATTCTCGAAAGGAATTCATATGAAGTGCGAGACATAAATGAATTTTTGAAACGCGCGATTTTACAGAAACGTTCACACCGCGACGCGCTTGAAACCGTTGACGTAGTGCGTGGTGGACAACAACAACAACAACAACAACACTGATGACGATAATAGTGAAAGTGGAGAATACCCGATTACGCTCCGCGCAAACACGATGAGATGCGAGATTAGATGTGCATAGAATAAACTTTGGCAAGCCCAACAGCATTGGATCGCTGCTGGGATTCTCATCGAAGCGACTGCGAAGGTGGTACGAATCGGACGTGTCGATCAACATGAATGTAAACGTTATCCGCGTAGAGTGTAACGTGACCGCGGGCGCGTACGGCAAAAACGTGCACACGATACACGAATTTTCGCCGAGTGTGCCTTCAGGATATAAGATATCGGAGAGGCCGGCGCAGATCATTTACCTGCCGATCATCGCACGGAGCGTTACGGATCTAACAATATGCATCGTCGACTAGAACGGACGATTGCTCGATTCGAGGAGAAGAGATCACCGTTAGATTGTACATACGACGGCGACAGTGATAATTCGAGCGTGAGAAGCTCGTGCTGAACGGAACGGAGCGTACGCAGAGAGCTAACGCATTCTTTACAAGGCCAGTGACGTCACATTTCGATAACACTCGCTCATCCAGCTGCATCAGACAAAAGAAGAAGAAAAAGAAGAAGCTTAGCGTGTCAAATGTTACATTTTTAAAGTCTTTGGGATTCGCGGTGCGCAACATTTGAGATGACTGATATCCTAAACATTAAAGACGAGCCGATCTTCGACGATTGCATCGTCAAGATTGAGACTCACGTACAACCCGTTCGCCAACACAACGTTCGGATACAGCGATGAAATAAAAATACCCATACAGCAACAGGATCTGTTCACACTATCGTACGAAAGCTTTCTGTACATCGAGGGAAAACTGACGAAGAACAAAAGTGGTCCAGAGTGCTCATGTGACATTGGGAAATAATTGGATCACATTCATTTTCGAAGAGATTCGATATGAACTCAATGGTGTGGAGATTGATCGTAACAGAAACGTGCATAACTAGCACATTCAAAAACTATGTAACAGTGTCATCCGACAGAAGCGTTATTCTGCGAAATGCCGGCTGGGATGCGCAGACTGCGGCCGGAAATTTATTTTCTGTGTACCGCTCTACGTACTGGGATTTTGCGAAGATTACAAACGCATCGTGATCAACGCTCGTCACAAGTTGATTTTAATACGAGCGCGTAATGACAACAATTGTCTGATGAGAGATCCGGCGACAGAACCAAAACTGCTCGAATTATTCAAAGTACAGTAGCGAATGCCGCACATGTTATTGAGCGAGATAAATAAGTTGTCGATGCTACGCGCTTTAGAAAGCGGACGATATCTGAGTATGGCTTTTCGCTTGTGGGATTTGTACGAGTTTCCGCTCTTGCAGAGCACAACCAAACATTCATGGGCCATCAAGACGGTTACTCAACGAGAAGCCACGCTCATTTTCGCTATGCAAACAGATCGAAAAAACGTCATGTCTGAAGATATAAGTCGATTCGACGATTGCAAATTAATCAATGCGAAACTCTATCTGAATTCGGAATGTTATCCGTATGATGACTTGAATCTGGATTTTGATAAAAACAGATGTGCGATTCTGTATGATTTGTACGCGCGTTTCTGCAAGGGCTACGAGTATCTCGAGCCGAGTCTCACCTTTATGACTTTTTTATGTAATGCCCCGTTCGTGATCATCGATTGCTCTCGACAGAACAAATCGGTCAAGAGTGGCACCGTGGACATGCGATTAGACTTTGAATATAAGGAGAATGTTCCTGCAAATATAACAGCCTATTGTCTCATCATACACGTTTGCGTTCAGTATAATCCATTGACCAACGTTGTGCGCAAAATCACCTAAGCGCACTTCCGACATGATATAAAATCTACGATACGTATTCGACCGCATTCGATCGCAATCTTCTCAACAACATGCTCGTGCCAACGTTCGTGGATCTGCAAGGATTCATCGTTAACAAAAAATTTATTGTGAAGGAAGAAGCGGTATTGAAACAAGGGACTTTTTACACATTACATTTTTACAAGTCCCGTGTCATGGAAATTTTTGACAAGATCCGACAGGTCTTGCGCTTCCTGATTGAGTGCTTGTTACCATGGATTGCGGTGGGAGAACGGAATGGTTCCATACAACGAGGCGAAACGTCTGATCACGACAGCTGTATTTGAACATGATGTTATCGTGTACGTTAAGGGACAAACTGTCGCTGTTTCTCGTGAAAGGGCCTCTACGAGCAGCAATGGAATATTTACAAGATGCTACGAAACGAATATAAAGATAATTTTATAAGCATTGGACCGCTAATCGTCAATGTTTGCACGCTGAATGATGCTACGCTCGTACGTCTCGATTCTTCCGTACGCATTACGATGACGAAAACGACACTACAACGTATGTTTGAATTTGGCGGATGTATCGACGTAATGTTCGAGCGATTAGCCCGACTCGTCGATACGGTTGATGCTAAGTATACGCGATTTTATAATATCGCGTCTGAGAACGCTATACGTGATAGTGACATTTTCAATGGGCATCACTCGTCGATTGCGAACTATTGGATTCAGCTTTTAATACGTACAAAAAAAGAAACGATGTAATAACATGTGAATAAAAAATTGTTTCGTTCCCATTATTATGAGGTGTACAACTTTGCTTCCGCCGTTTTCCTATAGATGGCTTTAGCGGTAAGTGGTGGTCGAAATAAATATATCATACAGACGTCATATAATAAACTTGGGCATCTGTCAACATAACCTCATAGAAACATTAGTCGATTTGTGTCTGCATCATAAAGTTTTTCTCGATTGAAAATGTCAGTTTACGAGCCAAATTCTCGTCATTTGCGGGAGGTTTTAATTTTTTGCTTCAATATGAAGAAATCTGCGACTGAGGCTCATCGAATGCTCTCAAATACTTATGGTGAGGCCGCTATTAGTGAAAGAACGTATCGTGAGTGGTTTCAACGCTTCAAGAACGGTGATTTTGACATCGAAGACCGGCTTAGCGGTGGAAGAGAGAAGGTTTTCGAAGATGCAGAATTGGAGGCATTACTTAAGCAAGACTCATGTCAAAATCAAAAAGAATTGGCACGATCATTGGGAGTAACTCAACAAACCATTTCAAAACGCCTCAAAGCCATGGGAATGATTCAGAAGCAAGGAAATTGGGTGCCGTATGAATTGAAGCCGAGAGATGTTGAACGGCGTTTGTTTGCTTGTGAACAGCTGCTTGAAAGGCAAAGACGGAAGGGATTTCTGCATCGCATTGTGACTGGGGACGAAAAATGGGTTCATTACGATAATCCCAAGCGCAGAAAATCATGGGGAGTTCCCGGCCATGCTTCCACGTCGACGGCCAAACCGAATATTCACGGTTCCAAGGTCATGCTCTGTATTTGGTGGGACCAGCTCGGCGTAATGTATTATGAACTGTTAAAACCGACTGAAACAATCACAGGCGATCGGTATCGAACGCAATTGATGCGTTTGAGCCGAGCATTGAAAGACAAACGCAATACAACGAGAGACACGATAAAGTGATTTTGCAGCATGACAATGCTCGACCCCATGTTGCGAAAGTGGTCAAGACATACTTGGAAACGTTGAAATGAGAAGTCCTACCTCACCCGCCGTATTCTTCAGACGTTGCTCCCTCTGACTATCACTTGTTTCGATCAATGGCACATGTCTTGGCTGATGACCAGCACTTCCGGTCTTATGAAGAAATAAAAAATTGGATCAATTCGTGGATAGCCTCAAAAGATGACCAGTTTTTTCGACGCGGGATTCGTACGCTACCCGAAAGATGGGAGAAAGTAGTGGCCAGCGATGGACAATACTTTGAATCATAAATGTATAATCAGTTTTTTACAATAAAGCCTCGAATTTCGGAAAAAAACGGCGGAAGCAAAGTTGTACACCTAATATATATGTACTATACTTTCTTTATTTTCCATCCATTCATCCATCCATTCATTCTATATCTCGACACGCTATCGTACTCCGTTTTAGATAAATAACAGTCACGTTTGTTTTTTTTTGTTGTATCATTGTATCGAATTATATATGTATGTACGCACTTACGCATGTATATACGTATGTATGTATTTATGTATGAACGTATATGTATGAACGTATGTATATTTCCACGTAAGAAAAAAAAAGGAATTATAGATGTTAAAATAATGCAGTGTGAACTTTCAGCAATTCGATGGTGCAAATAATCGTGGCTACTATATATTAAGCTACTCTTATAAAGTGCTGCAACGATATAAGCGATACTTTTCTCGTGACGGTATTATGATCTGAATTGTTTTATGTACAACTATCGCCTAAAGATAATCCTAGATCCCTTCGCTGTGGTGAAGGTTGAGTCTCAGCGTCAGTTTGTCTTGCATTGTCCGCGCGCAATCAGCTGTTATTGCATTATTATTTTTGGATAGTGTGATCCGGCTTCAAACGCGTAATTGAGTTTATGTAACTTTTTTTCTACATATTGTTTTTTGTTACTCACTGCATAAGTGACATTTTCGATTCTGGCCGTATCGACTCTGTGTTAGAATCATGACCATTCACACAAAGAAGAAGTTTGTCTTTCGCGCTTTGTCCGCGCGCGATCGGATGTTATTGCATTATCATCATTTTTCTCAGTGTGCAAAAAGTATTTTGCCGCTTAAAGTTATATTAAGTGACGGGGGTAATAGTGAAACTTAGTGACAGTTATAGACATTAGTGTGGGTTTTTTTTTTTAAAAAACTTTCACTCTCACGCAATAATGAGCAACCTCAGAGAACTTCTAGAGATCTACTACGAGTATCCCGTTGAGGGGGGAAGTAATTTTTTTTCTTTCTATTTGTATTTTTTTGTTGCTGCTATATGCTTATAACGCTTTTTTATTTTTCTTTTTCCAGTACATTATGGTCGACAACCAAAAGGTTGTAATTCAGCAACTACAGTTGCTGAATGAAGTGGGGATCCTGATAATCCCTTTGATAAGTTTTGTTTAAATTTTAAAAATATAAATTATAGGATATTTTTCTAATTATCTTTTTTCTTTTTAATTTACTTTGTTATATTTTTTTCCAGAGGACACATCGTAGTCACATTAGAATTAGACGCTTTATGAATATATATATAAAACAGCCAAATGATACGTGCAGAGAGACGATGGAACGTGAGATTCTTGATGTTTGATTGGATGAAGACTTGACTCTAGCCGAACTTTTTGTTCCTCCGACCATACGAACCCGATCCGGAAGATTGGAATTGTAAGTTTCATAAAATTTTATGTAGAAAATATGAATAAAATTAAAAAAAAGGAATACTTATATTTATATTTATATTTATATTTTATATTTAT